AAAAAAAAAACATGCCTGAACATTTATCATTATCATCGTTTATCCATCATTCTACAGAAAAATGAAATATCGATGCCTTCGTGTAATCAATACCTCTTATATTTATGTAATATTAGTTGATAAATCAACAACAATCTCTCTTTCGATACTTTCTACGATATTAATTATAATTTATGATAAATTTTTTTCTTACATTCTTACATTTCTTCGAAATATTTAATATCCCATCTTCAAGCATCTATCTTTTTTTTTTATTCAATATTAAATATTCATTAGTCATTTTCAGAGATGAGCATATAAGCTTTGATTTTTCCTTCTTGCTCAAAATGAGTTCCATGAGTATTTAAACAGATATCTTTACCTTAATATTTCCAATGCTTACTAAACTTTATACATTTCTTTTAATAATGTTCATTGCTCAAATATTTCCTCTTCCTTTTTTCCAAATAATTCAAATTCCAACTTACAAATTCCTCTTCGTCCATTCTTCCCATTTCCCCCCATTAATCGAATTAAACAATTCAGATCGCAATTCGATTGCTAAGTAGGCGTTTCGTCTTGTTCTAGGTAAGTTGTGACCGGAGAACCGCGGTGAACGTTTGGATAATATTTCGACGGTAGAGCTCAGAATGACGTTCAGATGCATGCCAGCCTTTCAGACTCTCGGAGGCGGCGACTGCGGTGCATCCTGGGTAAGTGTGTTACTCTTATGCAACTCGGTTGCCGCAATCCCACAGTGTCATAAATTTATTTTATTTCGTGCCTTTCTTTCGCGCCGATCCTAACAATTCGTATTTTCCCGCCAATTTTCTAATCGACTCTCGGACACGAAGTTAGTTGATGCCTCAAAATGGTTTCAGAGTAAAGAATTAAGGAAATTTATTATTAATCCTGAAGCCTTTTTTTGTCGAAATATTCAAGTAATAGAATTTAACTCAAATTTAAAAAAAAAAAAAAGGAGAAAAATTTAAAGACCGAAACTTTCAATTAGAAAGAATTTCTAACAAAGAAATAAAATAATATGATTCCTTGTGACTCATTGATTTTAAACGAATAATTCTCGTGTTTCAATATTCTATCTCGGAGAGAGGGTGTCGGCTATCTTCGTAACGCGAACTTAACTTTTTAACTTGAGCGATTTGAAAATTTTTTTTAATTCTCCTCTCCCCGTATCTCGGCGAGGATCAATGAAAACTTTATTTTCCCCCGTGTTGCATGTTCGCTCATTTGTCTACCTATCTCGAGAGTACATCGTTCGACACGGCACGTTAAGTTTTGTCCGTTGCACGTTTCCTGATTTCATTGTCGGCCAGCATGATCCCTGTTTAATTTGAACAAGAAAGCGATCTCGATTCTCGATTAGTCGCTCGCTTGAACAGTAACTCAAATTCATTGAGATTCGAGTATCAAAGGAGAAGAATATAAATAAGAAAATGAAGAGAACATAACGTGGATATTATCTCACGTAGAATCGTTAAATCGTGAACGTGTCCATGATATCTTACGTTGTAATCACGTAAGAAGGAAACGATGACTTGTACCTATTTATTTTTTTTTCCTTGATCATCGTTTAATGGAAAAATTGAGATGGAAACGTTAAGTTAAATGGTAAGTTTAATATTTTAATATATGCGATAATCGTATTCACGGAACGTAATGGAAAAAAATAGACACGATTGTATTTTCTATGAAAAATACAATTTGTATTTCTTTTTTTTTTCTTTTAAACATATAGACTAGGAATAGCTGTTAATTTTTTTTTTCAAATTTTATTATAAATTCTATCATCTTCGTTTATTGCATATGTCCGAATCCATGCGTACCGTTAAATCTTTAATCCAGTTTTTTTTCTGGATAACAATAAATATGAACGTGCAATATTTTGTGTTGTTAATAATAATAATAATAATAATAATAATATATTTGAGTTTTCTATGAAAATGTAGAATATCAATAAATTCCATCGCTCGTGTTACGTTATCTTCTGTGCCTCGTGTAATAAAGAGTTATATTCAAGAGTTAAACGAAAATCACGTTTCTTAAATCTCTGCAAACGGATAAGAAAAATTAAGAGAATTTGCGACCCGGCACGCGTTAAATAATTTCCACGAGGCTAAAACCACCGCCGCTGCTCTTCGTACGGAAACAAGTCTCGGCCGCCATTATATTTGCCGGCAAACCTGATAATTAATTCAACGAATTTAAACCACAGTAGGAAGAAACGGTAACGTGAGAGAAAGATTCAATTAAAGGTACAATGCTCCTTTCGCCGGCTATCTTTATTCATTCTTTTTATTTTGCAGAGCACAAAATTACAACACACGTATGATCGTCGATGAAATTTGTTGTACAAATTCGAGGAATATCGAGAGAATGCGTAAATTTTTAAATCGTGCAAATTTGTTGGTCCAAGTCCAAGATTTTGATTATTCAATTCAATTCTGTCCACGTAATATGAGTGGAAAATTTTTCAAAGAATCCGAGAAAACTGCTAGTCTAGTTGTTGCACGTTGAATGGGAATAAAGTAAATTGTAGTAACAAGCTTCTTTTCATTAAGTTTACTTTACGCAGGAGGAAGTTTTTGTTACTTACCTGCTCGAGAAGAAATTGCCAAGATTTTTTCCCTTGTAAAATAAAACTTTAAAACTTGGAAAGTTTCTATTGGATTCTTGATGGATGCTTGTTAAATCAGAAATTAATTTCTTTAAAATGTAGAGATAAATCTTTTTAAAAAAATGAGAAAGAAATTGTTAAATTGGTTATTTGAAACGTTGTATTTAAATCATTGTGTTGATATAAGATTTAATTAAAAAGATTGTAATAATCACCAATCTATTTATATTGCATAAGAGATTTAGATTAGATAGCGTAGATTATTAAAATAATTACTGTTCGTTATCTGTAGTAGTATATGATTGAATTGTAAAATTTTTATATTACAATTTAATATCGAACATCAATAATTTTTTGATAGAAGATATGAATCAATGGATCAAAGATACAATACGATGTCTACAGCTTAATACGAAATTGTTCTCGATTCAAAGTAGAAATAATCGTCTTCGATAAAAAGTTACAATAGTTTTCGTGACGACTGTGAAATTCAAGAAAACGTAATCACAACTGATTATCAATTGATAGTCGTGAAGTGTAATAGCAGTAATCGTCCCAGTCCATTATTGAATTTCGTGCTGAACACTGATTATCATTCATTCAACATTCAATCTTGCCAATCTAATTTACGTATAATTTTCAATGCAAAATTGATTGCAGCAAAAGATATTTGGTATTTGGAAGTTGGAAATTTTGTTTTTTGGGAAAAATTAAAAAAAAAAAAATAACGCAAGAAAGCAATTTCTCATTTTATCGTTTGTGGAGCACGAATTATTAACATTACGTGCTCGAGTAATAAATATATTATCAAAGTTATTATTTATCTTATCTGAGAGGTTCTTTTAAAAAGTTTGAATTTCTCTTGAACGTATCCACATATAATATTCATTATCTATTTTTTTTTTTTGTAATCGATATTAATTCATGAAGTATGCAATATCTCAAGTTGAAAGGGATAAAGTTCAATTCTCAACGATCGAACTTCGATTCGAAAAAAAGTTTGAAAATAATTGTTCGATATTTTACTGTGATTTTACAGCAAAACTGTATTATATATCTGGAAAAAGGAAACAGGAATGAAATAAGATAAAATCAACGAACGAATATTTTCTTAATTCGAAAAACTTTCGAAATGCTCGATATTTTATTTTCAAAGGAAGCTCGATATTTTATACAAATCGCCGACGAATTAGAATACAAAGTGGAGGATCAGGAGCGGTCATCACGGGGCGGGATTCACGGAATTAGAGAAACGGGAAACGAGGTTGGCAGAAGCCATTTGCCGCGGATAATAAACGCGATAGAAAGCCGCCTTAATGCGACTGCGCGGTTGTTGAAGTTTGTGCGGCACGACCTAAGGATTCAAACCTACCTTCTTATTCTCATTCCGTTGTTATTACTTTGTTTCCTTTCTCCCCTCTTTCCGAGTAAATAACTCCTCGTCGTTTACTCACCCTACCCCCGAGTTTATAATGTAGATTATCTTATTTGCCTGTTGAGACTCGTTTCAAGTCCGAAGTCCGAGTTTCTTGGTTACTGGAAAAGCGGAGAAAAATCGTCTTCCGTCGTGAAATCTACGGATTTATGAATGAATGAAAGAAAAAAAAAGGTATGCTCGCAGTGGAAAAATAATCGTGATTGTATTATTAATTTATTTCATATTTTTTACTATAGCAATCGTTTCTTTTTTTAGGTATCATTTTGTGGTCGTAGTTTGCAAATTCAATCTTGATTAAAAAGTTAAAAAAAAAAAAAAAAATTGAAAAGAAGCTAATATATAATTTGAAAAGATTTTCAAAGTCTTTAAATATAATACCAAGTCTTACTTAATATTTTTCCCGTTAAAATTTAAAAGAACATATTTATAGTGAGTCATATCTTTTATTCTACTTATTCACTAAAATTTTCACGAATATAAGTTTCTTCTGGACAGATAATCACTTATTCCACGTAAATGCAAAATTCTTCATCAATTAAATCTTACCTTCAAATCGTCTCGATTCTACCACTTATCGATCGCCAGAAAATCATGGAGACAAACTCTTACAACTTGAGAAACATTATTCGTTTATTAGAAAACGAAAAAGTTCGCGAATCAAAAATGAAATAATCGGTTGGATTGCTCGATCGGCACCCGAGAAATTCCCATTCCACCGGCGCACTTTTCCCAAGAATTTGCCCAGCACCATTTGCCACGATCCACCCAGTCGGTTCCATCCGTTTCTAGCCATTCGATCCGGCCGACGAATCGCGCTTAGCGCTGCACCTTGCAATTACGCGGAAAGGCGGTCCACCCACTCCGCGACTCCGCTCGTTGCATCGTACGGTAACAGGCCTCCTCCAACTATCCCCCCTCCAACCCTCCTCCTCCTCCTCCTCCTCTTCCTCCTTCCTTTCATTATTAATTATCGGGTCGCCAGTGTGTTATTAGTGCACTAGGAGAAACCGGCCGCCTCGCGGCGCGACTCAATCCGAGGAGGAGGAAGGAAGCGGGCAAACGCTTAAACCGACGATGATAAATAACGATGTGGCGGTGGTACACGCGCACGTATAATCTGCTCGACGGCCAGTTTCTGAGTGACACGCGGTTGTAATTACTATTATCAATTAGCGAATGGCAGGGGAGATTTATGAATTGAGAATAAAGGCTGCCGTCGAAGATCATTTGATATCTTCTCCGCTTCTTCCCCGTCTGTGGGTTTTGTGAATCGAGGCTTCTTTCGCTTTCTTTTTCCTTTTTTCTCTCTCTCTCTCCTTTAGTTTTCTTTAGAATGGGATACGTACCCTTCTTCTACGCTTCGAATCATTTTTGTTCCAGGAATTTTTATCGTATTTTAAAGAGCGTAGAAATAAATATTCTAACTCGTATAAATATCGAAATGCATTCCAAAACAGGCGTATTTGTTAATTGATTACACTGCGTTTTTAAACGGTTGCGTCAACTCGTAAGATCGTGTCCAATACACGACGATAATTAAAATTAGAAAAAAAAAAAAAGAAAAGAGAGAAGGAGAGACGCGGAAGCAGAAATGAAATCGCGGATAGTTTCTCTTCTAATTATTAGCCGGTTAATTAATG